GACACCTCTCAATCGAAAATCGGATATCTTGATTATCAGAAAACTTGAATTGAAATTTTTTCTATACACACGTGCTCCTGCTATCTTCGTGGATCGATTTTAGAGGTATCAATTTTCAGAAATCGACAAATCATGCCTCATTTTGTTCGTTTCGTCATGGGCTTTAAAAGTCCTAAATCAATTTTAAAGATTAATTTATAATTCATCATTAATTGAGTTAAAAACTCTTTTGTACCATATTAGGGTTTTCAATCAAGGAGGCAAACTGTCAGTTTCGATTACATTGGGAGGCAAATTGTTAAAAAAAAAAGTTTATATGGCAAAGTCAAAAAAAGGGCATACTTTGGGAGGTTAAAATTTTTTTTCCCTAATATTAAATTAACAATATTTTAAATAAACCTCGAGTGAGTCACTCAATGCCGGAAGTGGAAACTACTATTGATCCTATTTAAAAAGAGAAAGAAAAAAAAAATAATTATATATTAAAGAAGAGGATAAACAATACTTAATAATTATAAATTAAAGATTCGGAGTCAAACAATGTAAAATTATTTTATATAAGAGAATATAAAAAATATTGATTATACACCATTTCAAAATTTTTATTATACTTTTTTGTATGGTTAGCTTATAATATTTGTAAAAATATTAGTAATTAGACCGATGAAAATTAGCTTCTTAAAGTAGATAATGGATTTTTAGTAGTAATTACGAATTGGTTTCTATTTTATTTTAGTTTCTCTTTTAAAGATAATGGATTTCTAGTAGTAATTATGAATTAGTTTAAATTTTATTTTATTTTTTCAAATCTATATAGATAATGGATGAGATTTTTTAAACACACGTATGCAATGAGAATTTGTAACAGAAGAGATAAGTTCGTGTAGATTGATACTAAAAATAGGAAAAAGAAAAATAAATATTTATTGTCAAACAACGGTTTTGATTAACTAAAAACCAGGAAAAAAGAGAAACAAATCTTTACACAATTAATGAGCTGATTTTTTTGCCTATTCAGATTTGTCCAATAATTACTATATGTAGGATATATTTAATGATTTTGGCGGGAAAAAGTTTCTAAATTTGTAAAAATGTTATTCTTTTTATATAATGATAGATGCAACCAAGCATTTTCACTTTCTTTCTTTATTTTTTTTTTCCTTTAGGGAAAATGATTATCAATCCTTTGTTAGGAAAATAATTGAGTTAAACAAAATACTCCATTTATTACTTATGAACAAACATGCTTTTTTTAACCGTTATTTGCTATTTAATTTTACCAAAACAAAGGTGACTTATTTATTACTTATGAGTAACTATACCACATGAGTAAAATGGGAAAATTCGTTCATGGCAAGAGGCATCGTTATGTGATAGAAATTTTATTTTGTATATAGTATGTATTGATTTTGTTAGCTTTAGCCGTTCACTTACCAAAATATAAAACAAAATAAGGATAATCTACGGAAGATATTATATTATTACCGTGTTTAATGTGTAATTATACTAATATTAATGTAATCAGATTTCACCCAAGTACACTGTACACACCCAAAGAAATTTAGTGCAACACAATCATGTATCGTAAATCTATATACATAATAATACATGTATATAGAATTACATATATATATTATTTGGTATTGTTTTATATATACATGGGAAAACAATATTTTCTCTCATAAGTCTAATCGTGCTATATTGCCAAAATGGTTTTACGTGGTCACCGATTACGAATGAGAAGTCCAGTCATTCAGATTTTTTAACACGTAATTCTGTAAATTAATTAATAATTTAATCTGACAAATATTAACTTAATTGGTAAATTAATATGACAAAGCAAATTAAGTGTGAATTTTGTATAATATATCTTTCCCAGGGTTCTTAACTTGGTTGTATAAAATAAATATAACATTTAAAAATATTAATATTTATTTTGTTCACATGATATACCCAATTATCTCACGTATATATTTGTGATCTCAAATATATATAGATTGGTAAACCTATCAGATAAACTAGTTTATAGATGATAAGTTAGCTTATAACTTTTAAGTGAATTTAGAACTTATAGCTAATAGCTTATGATTTATGGTTGAAGCTTTAGCTTATATGATAAAAATAATTGGTAAATTAGTTGATAAACTAACTGAAATAAAAATTGCAATGAATTTATTTGAAAAGCTACTTAAGTAAACTTATAATAGAAGCTCAAACTTTTTAAAAAAAGCTCGTCCTACCAAAACAAATGTGTGTTTAGTAAGCATCATACACTAGTTTATATTTTATTTGATTAGCTTAAGGTTTTTGTATTCAAATAAGTTTGATTTGACAAGATTAATTTTTTAAAAAAGTTTGAACTTATCTCATAAGTTCTTTTTGGTAGTTTTTCAAATAAAGCCGACTTATCAGCTAAAATATTATTTGAACACATAAATCTTATAAATTTAAACTAACATATGACAGTTACCTAACACGCTCGTAATCAGCACGAGTGAGACTAAATCAGTTCAAGAAATTAAATGCACTCCAGATTGCTAAACACACAATATTTGAGGATCATATAATAGAAGTTCTAAAAACTACCATAAAAAATTATTTAAAAATTTTATACGTTTCTTTATGTACGTGTATGTGTGTGAGAGAAAATGTAAGAAACTAAAACTACAGAAATAAAAAGTGAGATGTAGTGTACTAATTTACTCTAACATGTAGTTAACCAGAACGAAAAGTCAAAATCTTCACTGCGTCACGCATAGGAAGTTTCAAAAAAAGCTGTAATGATTATTTTTTGTTGTGTTGAGAGGAGAAAGAGTCAACCCACCATTTCCATTTATGTTATGTGCTTTTTCTTGGCTTGTAATATATGCATGAAATTGTAACAACATGAATTCACTCGTTATATACATTTAAAATAAAAATGTTATTTGTACCAAAAAAATAAAATAAAAAGGTTTATTCATCTATATATATATATATATAATATTTCTAGCTAATAGTATTTAATAAAACCTCATTTTCATTTGCCTCCAAAAACCGTTACAAACTTTATCATTTATATATCTCTCTCTATATTTAATTACTAACAATATATTTAGTAATATTAATTATTGTTTACCATCTTTTTATATTAAAATCTTCTATTATTATTATTATTATTATTATTATTATTATTATTATTATTATTATTAATCCACCATATCTAATTAATGCTAAAATATTTCATTGCATTTTTTTAGGGTTAATTAAGAAAAAAACCGTTACATTTTATATTAACGGAGTAATAATTATACTATTTTAGTATATCATATAATAGTTATTATTAAAACTAATGACTATAGTTTACACTAAATGATATATGAAAGTTACATAAACATAAAAAATTATTGTAAACTTTTTGCTAAAGTTATTTATTCTAAAATTAATATTATATTTTTTTATTTTATTTAGCGGTTGCATTTTTAAGTAAGTTAATTTATTTTAATATTATAGTAAAATTCCTTAAAATCGCATAATCAAATGTTATAATAAATTTAATATTTTTAAGCTAATAAATTGGCAACCTCTCAAAATTACATTATTTATTATGTTATATGTTAATTAATATAGTGGTTCATATGCAATCAAATAGTTATGTACTATTTATTTGAACCAATGATCAAATTTTAAAACATAATATCATTATTTAATTTATATTTTTATTATTATATACATAAATATAATTTATAATACTTTATGTTTAAAATATAATATCATTGTATAACTTATAATTTTAATACTATATGCATAAATATAACTTATAATATTCTATTTACATTGTGCAAATGCACAAAGTCGAATACTAGTATTGTTAAATATTATACTTGCTTTTTCTAATGGGAGTATACACATTTATAAAAATAAGATTTTTAAATAAAAATACTATTTATATTATTAAATATCATACTTATTTTTTCTAATGGGAGTTTGTACACGTATAAAACCAATATGTAGACCTAATACCTAAAGTTATATTTTAGACAGATTTAACAATTAGACAACTATGAATTTTCAATATATATATGGACACTTTCAAATTAAATTGTCAAATATGATATTTCATAACATAATTATGTATTTTTATTATAAAATATAATTAGTCCGTATCACTCAAATATTTTTGCAGATAATAATATATATATGAGAGATTTCAAGACTCCATATAGTATTTGTATTGACGGTATTATCTTTCATTTTTCTCACTCTCTCTCTCTTACTCTTGTTTGTTTCCTTCCCATTTTCTCTCTCTTTCTCTCTCTTGTTTTTCTGCTTTTTGTTGGGTATGAATATGATAGCTAGCTTTCTGCAGGTCAAGGCATGCAGATATTGAGATAACATAAAACCAGGAAAAAGTGACTTTTCACTTGCTTTTTTTATTGAATCTGTTTTCTCTTTGTTTGTTCTTTTTTTATTTTTTCTTTTTTATTTCTTTTTTTTTTGGAATTTTTCTTTCATCTTCATCTACACATTTGTAAAGGTTGAAACTTTTCTTGGCCAGGACCAGGAGATAATTTGTTGTGATCAAGCAAAGAAAGTTGAAATAAAATAGAAGGTTCTTTATAGAGAGGCAGCTTGAGAGACATTTGGAGTTTAACAACAGGCCTTGTGTCTCTTCTTCCTCTCTCTTTTTTTTGCAAGGCATTTTTATTTTTATTTTATTTTTTAAACTCCTTTTGAAAACCATTTTATGCATATTTTATTTTATATATAAATTAGAAAGCACCTTTTGCAGCTTGATATACTACCATATATGAAATTATTTTCCAGTGCATGACCAAATCTCTTGTGTATTTTTTAGTCAATGTCAAGTGCGTATTTTAGTCATTGGTAAGAAATAAATATAAGGGAAATAAAAAACCATCTCAGGATAACAAAATATCGTCGTACCAAATATAGTCAGATCGAGTGCAGAGAAAAACAGAAAATCAAAGCAAAAAAAGCTCGAAAGAGGGCAATTTTTCATGAATTTTGGGGACTTTCTTGACAGCCACAGCCACAACACTTCCGCCGCCGCCGCCGCCGGCGGTGCCACGGTTGCCGCCGGCTCGCCTATTTACACCACCAAAAACGGCATCTTTGACAGCGGCAACCCATCTACCACCGACATGCCGTCGGCCGCCGCCCCGCCGCCCCTCCACCACCCCTTCTCCGGAAAAACCACGTTCAACTCCTCCGGCCTCTCTCTCGCCATCGTAATCAAACAAACAACAACTCTAATTTCCTTTTTTATTTTTCCCCCACATTATTCATCAATTTTTCTTACCTTTTTTTCTCCCTTTATTTCTTTGGTTAGCAGCAAATGGGGGAAAACACGCACATCACCACCGCCGGCGCCGTCAACGGCCGGAGAACCAGAGACGACGACCTCCTGTACGAGAGCAGATCCGGCAGCGACAACCTAGACGCCGCCTCCGGCGACGACCCTGACGACTCCTCCGCCGCCGCCGACAAGCCTCCCCGCAAAAAACGCTACCACCGCCACACCCCCCAACAAATCCAAGAACTAGAGGCGTACGCCACCTCAACCGCTCACAAAAAGATTGCATTTTTATCACTTTCCCCACCCCATTTGGCCCACAAAGATTGCTTTTTTATTTCTGGGTTTCTCATTTCCTTTTCGTGTCAGACAA